AAGCTGATATAAATCACATGGATTATCACTACAAAAGGGAGGGCATATGAAGGAGCTTGGAGTGGGGCGCAATCATGGCAGCCTTCCCCAGTTTTTTCTGGCTCAGCGACGAGAAAAGATACCGTGGCTGCTCCCCAGTCCATGTTTCTTCACACTCTTCCCGCTTGCAGGGATGGTGTCTACACACGACTCTTGGGAAGAACTACAGTTGATATTGTCGTAACCAGTAGGGACAGCGTCGCGAGCGGAGGAATCAGCTCACTTCAGGCTGCCTTTCATCACAAACAGTAATCGGTTAATGACTGTTCAGGAAGAAAACAACTGATGGTGAAAACCCCGCAAGCGGGCTCACTCCACCCTTCTTGACACCGTCCCTGCTGATTGCGACGATATCAACTGTAGGCTTAGTGGTTTGAGCGGAGATTGACCTCAGGGCTGTGCGGCCCTTAGATTGCGTTGCACCAGCGCAGCTCTCGTGATTATGAATGGAATCTTCAAAGAAATATTACCTCAAAGGCAGATTCTGTATTCTACTACTCGCTAATACAGTTGCGCTAATGACTTTGTAACGAACCTCTTAACAGATTCGAACGCAGGCATTCCAATCCCTTCGAAGGCGACCACAGTAAGCCATTGAGCGACGCAGAGCAAAATTGATGGCAGGAAGCAGTGTCGGCCTTTTTCGAATGAGTATGGCGACAACTTCACCACTCCGAACACCCTGAAAAGTTTCTTGCGCATTATTCTTTCACTATTCCTTCTTTCTACTTTTCTCACTGAGACTTCATTAGTTGTAAGGACAAGTGGAGAAGTTTCAGGGGAGCGATTTCGCGCTTGCTTGGCAAATCTCCGATGTTGTGTGTGCGAGTAAATTCGTGTTGCGGCGGTGTCTACAAGTTGTGTCGCATGCGCGACATTCACGACTTGCTTACTACGCGATTGTACCGATTTTACTGAGCGAAGCGGGCCTCCGATGGGAGTAGAACCAGCTCGCAGACTTGTTCCTGCAAATCACTGCAATATGCATTTTTGATCCCTGCAGAAAAACTCCCACTGCTCCTTCAGAAGGATAGTGTCCACGTAGGGAGCTATTTCCCTGACACAACTGGTGCCTTGGAAATGTGGCCGTAGCTCAAAATGTCGAATCTATCGCGCATGCGAAGTAGACCCATGAAGGCAATGCATTACTATCCAATCTTTACCCCTTGAGTCTTCCTATCTCAGTTTGCTTCTTATAGTTGCGCCATTTTCACAAATGGAAAAATAGACACTCCCTATGCAGGCCTTACTGGAATAATAGTCTCTGTCCGTTCAGCCATGTCCCTCTGCAGCCTCAGCATGTAAGGATACTTATACTGTTGATTTCGCCATTGTTTAGTAAAATCAGCACGTCCACACAATCGGAATCCTTCGCTGCAGAGTATTTTCGTCGGGAACAGTTCTTGACAGTTCATTTTCCAGTCTCGACGCAATCATTAGCACATTGGAAAGACTCAGCAGTAGTAACTCGTATTTGTCGTTGCTCTGAGCAGAAGAAACGCTAACCTTAACCTGAAAAAAGGTTTTATAACTCCTCAAAAATTTTTTACTGGCTGTACCTTCCGCGTTTCCCCGTCCTACATCGTCTTGCTCGCCTCTTACCGAGCTGGCTGGCACTTTCCATTTTGCAGGCGCAATCACTCGCCTCCCTCGATGGCAGTTTCTAGCAAAAACTGTAAAAAGTACAGGAAAAGTGGTAGGAAGTTGGGAAATTTCAGTAAGATGGTGGGTAGCATGGTAAAGGGGGTAGTACCAGAGAAAGAACTTCGGGCAGTATTTCGCAAGAATATTCCTAGACGGGAAGGACGCGCCCTGACGAGAATTCAGTACCGAAGCAAGTTCAAGCTGCCCTCAAAAATTCAAGAGAGCGAAATCTTCTGACCTCAACAACTCGATGATAAAGAGACTGGTGGCCATTTGAAGCATGAGAATGACTACTGGATAGTCAAAGAAGAACCGTGTGACAACCACTTTGCCCACCAAGGAGCAGAATATCGTGGAGCCGACATAGAATACAGCGCTAAAAACAAATGTATCTGTTTGTAGATGTTCAAAAAATATATGAAGTACCTCCGAACGGCCGGCGTCAGCAAGAGGCGCATCGCAAAATAGCGAAATCGGTCTACAAGATCTGCCCCACTTCAACACTAGATCCACGGCCAGATATGGACGGAATCGACGAGCTCGAAACATCGCACTTAATAGTGACTCGGTCCGGGAGACTGATTCTACCCTCTAAGGATCCAGTCTATATCTGAAAACCTTTTCGAAGTGCACTTGCAAGATTTCGATCGCGAAAGATTCTCTCACTATATTGGCCTACAACATGTATCGGATAGCGATTTGCCCGAATTTTCACAACTATCGTGAGAATGTTAGAAATATTAGCTGCTATCTAATGGTAGGAAAAACGAGAAAAATTAAAGGATAGGCGTGGAAGGTCGTTTCAGAACATGCAGCACTTGAGAAATAGAGAACCAGTGAATCAGAGAGTAGGATTCAGAATCGAAGAGTACGCTTAAAAGGAGTAAACGTATCCATCCAGAGAATTAAAAAATGGACAAGGTACGTTTCCCCGAACGTGGCTCTAGATTTTACTCTACCAACCGCCGCCCTAGAGTTCCGAGGGAATATCAAGAAAACAACGAGAAAAACTTGAAACCATTAACCCAGTACATCGCCACGGAAGCGGAATGTCGCTGTGGCAAATGAGACTCAACCGTGTTGCCCTTATACAGTAAGTAGGATTAGGAACTGCACGTATCACTGTTTGCCTCATTAGTTCGTAATACGGCGCAAAAGTTAACAGATC